GAAGATGGTATTGATATTAATTATACTCATTTTATAATGTAGGGAGTGAGGTCTCAGAGAGGTTAGGTGGTTTGTTTAGCAGCATGATTAGTAAAATGGTGGAGCCAGGTCTCTGATGTCACTTCGTGTCTGAGCTCAGGCCTCTCTCTCTTCTTTGGCATCTCCCCATTTCATTGCAGCAGAGCTTAGGAAAACAGCAGGTGGAGGCTTGGTTGTGGTAGGTGGCTGTTCAGAGAGTGAGGGATGAAGGAAAACACCACTGTGAATTGGAGCCATGCCTAGGGTGTGGCTCTTGGGGTGGCAGCTGAGTGTAAGGGTGGGCTCTGCACGGGGCTGGGAAATGCTATGTTGTCCTCAAGCCAAATATCTACTTAAGTTTCCCTCTGAACACACTCCAGAGAGCCCTAGGAAGCACAGAGGAGATAGAAGGCTTGAGGTGGGAAGAAATAAGAACTATGAATTTGCAGAAGGGAGATGTTTCCCTTTTTTGATGCTCAGAACCCAGCCTGGTTTGTGCTGTATGTCTCTGCAGATGGCCTCCCCTATCCAAATGGGGATGTTGCCATCTTGCTGCTTTGCATCTCTGGATCAGAACAAGGTTTCCTCCCATCCCGCCTCTCCCCCGCTACACACACACAAGGGTGCTGGTGACTCAGCTCCTCCTCTTCTCTGGCTGCAGTTAAGGGGGGGTGGAGGATGCTGACAGCAGAGACTATTTTGGCTTCTCTGACCTTCAGTGCAGCTCTTGGCAGCCCAGGGCAAGGGTGGAGCTGCTGCTGGGGTATGTGTGGGACCGCTGTTAATGTGAAGAAGGCTTTAGGATCTGGCCAGGACTGGGGAGGGCTGAGAAAACAGAAGAGGGCAGGGAAGGACCAGTGTGAAAGCGTGGGCGTCACCCGGTTGGAACTGAGTCCTACAGCTCCCAGACCCACCCTTTCAGTCCTAGAGCACTTCGCTAAATCTGAGACAGAGGTGGGGACTGAGGGAAATAGGGCCAACGTTAGAAGGGTCAAGATAGTATAAGACAGAGGCAGCAAAGAGACATAGAAAGCCGCAGAGACAAGGAAATAACAGGGACCCAACCATCCTATAAAGCTGTTACAAGATCTCTTAACCCAAAGAGTACTTTATGTTACATTTAATAATTGGCCTGTAGTCAGAAAACCTTGCTTGTTTGGGGCCCTGGTGATTCCCCTTGGTCCCTGTTAACCTCTTCACTGAAAGGCAGAAAGCACCCTGTGGAGTCACCAAGGTCTGAGACTGTCACTTCACACCCAATGCCCCCAAATGCTGAGTGTCAGTGCCTGTAGGTGACTGTGCTGTGCGGCATTGGCACAGAGCCGCAGGCGGTTCCTAGACCCCTGTGCTCTGCCCGACCCCGCCACCATGAGTTAGGACCATATGTCTACTCCAGAATTTCAAAATACCCTCCAACCCTAAATAGGACTTATTTCTGCCCTGGTTTCTGCAGCTGTGGCTCAGAAGATGACAGAGCTCAGTACCTCTCCCCAGCTCCAGCCTTCTTCTCAAGCAGTACCCCCCCACCCTACCCCATGCTTTCGGCCCCCAGCCTCTTTGTCTCCTGCTCCTCCAGGGACTGAAGGTCACTCCCTGGGTCTGTCTGAGGGGACAGGCAGCAGATGGTTCCTGAGAAAAGGGGGAGGGCCCAGGCAGCCCACGCCTCCTGTATTCCCCCTCTATGACCTAGCTAGGGGCTTTGGTCTTTTGGCTGATACTAAATGAATAAATCAGGGTTGGGGGAGAAGGGTCTCTGCCCTGTGGGCCACAAGAGATCACCCCCGGCTCTGAGCCGCTAGACATCTCCTCAGCCCCGCAGAACCAGGCAGAAGCAGCACCAGAGCACTAACATTGTGAAGGCAAAGAAACAGTTAAGCCTCCAGTGCCTCGTCAGGGACCAGCCCCTCGTCCCCGCCTTGGCGCCGCCCTCCCCATCAAGCGCCCCCCCCACCCCAGCAGACTTCCACCCCAAGTGCCGCATACTCTTCCCTGAAGCTGCCAGCCGGGGCCAGAGCCACCGCGGGCCAGGGCCACCGCCTCCATGAGGGCTCCCTCCCACACCCCAGGGTAAGAGCCGAACTGGTGGGCTTATCATGGGGGCTGGGGGATGTTGTGATAGGGAGGTGGGATGGGGATAACAGGAAGGGACTTAATCTGGTGCTTCTGGAACTAGCCCAGTGGGGTGGGCAGGCTGAGGGAATGGAGAGAGACGATGAGTATTACCGGCTGTGGAGCCAGCCCAGACCCAGAACCAGGCGGAGGCCAAGAGGGCCAGGAGAGTCCGTTCACCTCTCTGTGGGCTCAGGGTAGGAGACGCTGGCCAAGGGCCAGAAGCAGAGGGTGGTGACACTGGCTTTGCCGGGCAGCCTGGGGTGTCAGAGAAATTTGGGGCTTAGTCTTGGCAGGGATGGAAGAATCTGGGGAGGGGGGGCCAGTAACGGGAAGGCACCTAATGGGAGGGTGCCTGGGTATCAGCTGCGGGATCAGTCAGCTGCTCCCATGCTGAGGGTGAGCAGGGTAGCGAGTTTTTGCCAAGTAAGGGAAGGTGGGGGACACCATGGAAAAGAAGGGAGGGAAGGGTCATTAAGACGTGGCATGCGCCTCCCCACAGACCAACCAGTTTGCAGTGGGCTCCCCCCCGCCATTCCCTAAAGCCAGCATGAGACTGGGACTCTATGCCCCCGCTTTCTGGCCCCCTGAGGCCGCTGCAGAGATTGAGAGCACTCCCTTCCCAGCAGCTGCCCTGTATTCCCAGTCCGGTCTACCCCACAGGTTCCCCACCCCCACCTCCTCTCTGCTGCTTTTCCCAAGATGGGGGCTCTTAAACAGGAGCCAGTTTCTTCTCCCTCTCCGCGTCCCCCCACCCCCACCCCCCATGCAGAGGCAGCCAAGAAAATGACTTGTCATGCTGGGGTGGGGGGTGGGGGCGGAGCCGGAGCCGGGCTCAGCGCGCAGGCACACACAGTCACACACTGCGGCAGACTGCAGCTGCCCGCGCTGCCCCCCTCCCCGCCGCCTCACTGCGGAGACACCTGCCCTCCCGCTCAGCCTCAGCACCCACAGCCCACCCCGCCCCATCCCTGGCCGGGGCAGTGCCGTGCCTCGCAGGATAGTCCTTTCCAAAGAAAAAGGAAAAACAAGTCAGTTCCCTTCAGTGGGAGAGCTGCCGGAGGAGAAGAGAGAAGCAGGGCTTTCTCCTAGGCCTGGGAACGAGGGCATGGGATGTAAACTGTGTGGTTGCAAATCAGAACTGCAGAGCATGTGAGTCAGGAGTGGGGGTCTTGTGCCAGGACAGGAACTGGGATCAGAAGAGTCTTGTGGCTATAAACAGGGAGCTATGAGGGGCGATAGACTTGCGGGGAGGGGTAGATAGAAAGCAAATGGGTCTGTGCCACATGTATTTCTCTTTCTGGCCATCGGAGCTCAGGTGTGACCTTGTGTGAGGAGGCCCTCTTCTAAATTTGAATGAGCTGGCAGCTCCCTGAACCTTGATATCCCTCATCTACCCAAGCCCTGCCCCTCCTGCCTATGAGGTGGCTCTCATCCTCTGAGCTGACTCAAAGCCTCCTTCAATTCCCAAGTTAATAGAAGGGAACCCTTGAACTCCTTTTGGGCCCTACCCACCCTGCATGGAGTTTGGTCGTCTGACACCATCCAGAGTTCATTCCCCTGCAGCTGTGTCTGCAGCCCTGTGCTGCCACATCTGCCTGATCCTGGCACCATGGCTCCTTCTCATAACAAAGGCCCTGGCCCCAGGCTTCCCTTGTCGGAGCTCAGAAAGAGCAGGGGAGACTTGGGTCACAGAAGCGAGTCTAGGGGACAGATTATGAACCCTCCCACCAGCAGACAGCCTACACCCAAAGCCATCTGTTTTATCCTCCACTGTGTGCTGCAGCTGGGGAGGGGGAGAGGAAGGGCCGAGGCAGGGGATGGCAGCATCCTTCTTCATTATCTTCTCTCTGACCTGCCACCTTCTTTCTTTGCTATATTGCTTCGTGTTTCATGTAAGTCTGGAAAAGGGAAGTAGAGAGGGGATTTGGGGATGTCTTATCTTTCTCCATGGTCTGAGGAACTCTCTGAATCTCTTCTTCCTTATTTATGGGCTTCTTGTATGTGAACCCCAAGCTCCTCACCTCCATGGTAGAAGGCTATGACAGGAGAGGAGCAAGGATGAGAGGGGAAACTGTTCACAAGGATGGGTTGTGGGGTAGTGAACCAGGCCTCTCTGGAGCCTGGAGAACATGAACATGAGGTGGGACAGGGAGCTGTGACATTTTTGGGGTAGGAACAGTATGATTGAGAGCATGTATGTGAGTGCAGACTTGGCCTTTGAGGGGCCAGAGACCAGAACAGGAAGTTATAGTCCTATTTCTACTCTTTGGATTGTAAAACCCTTAGACAGCATAGGTCTCTCTGAGCTTTCTGGAATGGGAATTCTGGCCTTGGATGGGGTGAGGGAGAGGAAAAGAGTAAAGAGGGGATGTGTCTATAGACACTGCACAGAAGCGTCTATATCCTTATTTTCAGACATTCTGCTGGCATGGAAGGCCAGGGCAGAAGCAAGCTAGTGAGAAGAGAGCTGAGTGAGGATCATGGTCCCGGGAGCCCTCCCTCTAGCTGAGCCCTCATTCCCAGGCAGCACCAGGAGCTTAGTGCTCCAGAGGGACAAAGGCTTCTTGTCAAGGGGGCAGTCTGAAGTGGAAGTTCCAGGCAGGGGGTGGGGATGGGCACTGGGCAGGCAGAGGGTGTGGCAGATGAAGGGAGGGGAAAGACAGTCAGTGTGGGGAGGGGAGGTGGAAAACTCTGACAGGGAAAGGTTTGAGGAGCCATTTCCTAGACCTTACTCAGCAGTATCCAAGGTGGCCCTTTCCCAGGCCCCATTTTCTGCTAGTGCATTCTTTCCTCTCCTGCCCCACACAGTGTCTCTCCATTTCAGTCTGTACCCACTCTCTTCAATACACATTCCTGCATCTCTCCCTCAGGCCAAAGGACCCTCTGCCACCAGAGTGAGATCCTGGAAACCGTCATCCTGGTAAACCCCAGTGCAGACAGCATCAGCTCAGAGGTAAGGCTGGGGCCTATGCTTTGCCAGGAGGGCCTGCTGAAAGGGCTGTAACCCACCCTTGTCTGTGCTACTGCTTTAAGGGAAGAATTTCTGGACTTGGCTTTGAACTGTCTTTTCTCTGCCATCTAAGCAACCTTACAGTCCCCAACCCTACTCTGGAGGTGTTTTAAGGGATACCAGTGGGGGACATGTCTTTGCATCTTTGCAGTACTGAGGGGGTCCAGGACCATTCAGTGCCCTTCCCTAGTTTCCCCACATCTGTGATCACTCCCCTCCTTCTGCTCTAGGTTCACCATCTCCTTAGCAGCCCATCCACTCACAAACTACTGATCTTGAGCGGGCAAAGTTTAGAGCCTGGGGGAGAGCTCATCCTGCAGAGTGGCACCTACTCCTACCAAAACTTTGCCCAGGTCCTTCACAAACCTGAGGTAAGTTCCATGCCTGCATGTCTGGGAGGCAGGGGGTATGGGTAGGACTAGAGCTGTGGGAAAGGATCGAAGGAAGGGAAAATCTCACATTGCTTGGCTATTGGGGGCCCTAGCAGAAATGTAGGCGTTCACCTCAGAAAGAGGTAGAGATTAGCAGATTGAATCTGAGTCAGGTTAAGACAACCCAATGACCTGATCAGGCTTCTATCTCCCATTCCTCTAGATTGCCCAGTTGCTCAGCAATAGAGACCCTGGAATCCAGGCCTTCCTCACCGTGTCCTGCTTAGGGGAGGGTGATTGGAGCCACCTAGGACTATCCAGTTCCCAAGAGACCCTGCACATCCGGCTAAACCCTGAGCCCACGCTGCCCACCATGGATGGCGTGGCCGAGTTCTCCGAGTACGTCTCTGAGACTGTGGATGTGCCATCCCCCTTTGACCTGCTGGAGCCTCCCACCTCAGGGGGCTTCCTCAAGCTCTCTAAGCCTTGCTGCTACATCTTCCCTGGTGGCCGTGGGGACTCTGCCCTCTTTGCTGTCAATGGTTTCAACATCCTGGTGGATGGTGGCTCTGATCGCAAGTCCTGTTTCTGGAAGCTGGTACGGCACCTGGACCGTATTGACTCGGTGCTGCTCACGCACATTGGGGCAGACAACCTGCCAGGCATCAATGGACTCCTGCAGCGCAAAGTGGCAGAGCTAGAGGAGGAGCAGTCCCAGGGCTCCAGCAGCTACAGCGACTGGGTGAAGAACCTCATCTCCCCTGAGCTTGGAGTTGTCTTCTTCAATGTGCCTGATAAGCTGCGGCTGCCTGACGCCTCCCGGAAGGCCAAGCGCAGCATTGAAGAGGCCTGCCTCACTCTGCAGCACCTAAATCGCCTGGGCATTCAGGCTGAGCCTCTGTACCGCGTGGTCAGCAACGCCATTGAGCCACTGACCCTCTTCCACAAAATGGGTGTGGGCCGGCTGGACATGTACATCCTCAACCCTGTCAAGGACAGCAAGGAGATGCAGTTCCTCATGCAAAAGTGGGCAGGCAACAGTAAAGCCAAGACAGGCATTGTGCTGGCCAATGGGAAGGAGGCTGAAATCTCAGTGCCCTACCTGACCTCTATCACTGCTCTGGTGGTCTGGCTGCCAGCCAACCCCACTGAAAAGATTGTTCGTGTGCTTTTTCCAGGGAATGCTCCTCAAAACAAGATCTTAGAGGGCCTAGAAAAGCTTCGGCACCTGGATTTCTTGCGCTACCCTGTAGCCACACAGAAGGACATGGCTACTGGGGCTGTGCCTGCCAACCTCAAACCCAGCAAAATTAAACAGCGGGCTGACAGCAAGGAGAGCCTCAAAGCCACTACCAAGACACCCGTTAGCAAGCTGGCAAAACGGGAGGAGGTGGCCGAAGAGGGAGCCAAGGAGGCCCGCTCAGAGCTGGCCAAGGAGTTAGCCAAGACAGAGAAGAAGGCAAAAGAGCCATCTGAGAAGCCCCCAGAGAAGCCTGCCAAGCCTGAGAGGGTGAAGACAGAATCAAATGAGGCATTGAAGGCAGAGAAGCGAAAGTTGATAAAGGACAAGGTGGGGAAGAAGCACCTGAAAGAAAAAATATCAAAGCTGGAAGAGAAAAAAGACAAGGAGAAGAAAGAGATCAAGAAGGAGAGAAAGGAGCTCAAGAAGGATGAAGGAAGGAAGGAGGAGAAGAAGGATGCTAAGAAGGAGGAGAAGAGGAAAGATACCAAACCTGAGGTCAAGAAGATTTCCAAGCCAGACCTGAAGCCCTTTACCCCTGAGGTACGTAAGACCTTGTACAAAGCCAAGGCCCCTGGAAGAGTCAAGATGGACAAGAGCCGAGCTGCCCGTGGCGAGAAGGAGCTGTCCTCTGAGTCACGGACACCCCCAGCCCAGAAGGGGTCTATCCCACTCCCACCAGTCAGTGGGCACAGGGAGCTGGCCCTGTCCTCACCGGAGGACCTTACACAGGACTTTGAGGAGATGAAGCGTGAGGAGAGGGGGTTGCTGACTGAACAAAGGGACATAGGACTAGGAGAGAAAGCACTGCTTCCAGACACTGCAGATGAGGGACCCCCAAGCACAGCTACCCAAGGAATACCACCCTCTGTCCCAGGCTTGGAACAAGCAGAGCCTTTGATGAAGGAGAAAGAGGTTGTCCCAAACATCCCTGGGGAACAAGGCAGCAAGGACAGAAGTCCAGACTCTGGGGCTGAACCAGAGGAAGAGAAAGATACATGCGAGGAAAAGAAGCAGAAGGAAGCAGAGAGGCTCTCAGATAGAACAGAAGACAGAGAAGAAAGTGAACCTGAGGTAAAGGAGGACGTGATAGAGAAGGCTGAATTAGAAGAAATGGAGGAGGTGCACCCTTCAGATGAGGAGGAAGAGGAAGAGACAAAGGCTGAGAGTTTTTACCAAAAGCATACGCAGGAAGCCCTGAAGGTAACCCCAAGAGACAGGGAGGCTCTTGGCAGCCGAGAACTAGGACTCCAGGGTAAGGTCCCAGAGAAGGAGACCTCATCATTCCTAAGTAGCCTGGCTACACCTGCAGGAGCCACTGAGCACGTCTCTTATATCCAGGATGAGACAATCCCTGGCTACTCAGAGACTGAGCAGACCATCTCAGACGAGGAGATCCATGATGAGCCGGAGGAGCGCCCAGCTCCACCTAGATTTCCTACAAGTACGTATGACCTCCCGGGGCCTGAAGGTCCTGGCCCCTTTGAGGCAAGCCAGCCTGCAGACAGTGCCATTCCTGCCACCTCCAGCAAAGGCTATGGAGCACCAGAGACTGAACTCACCTACCCCCCCAACATGGTGGCTGCCCCTTTGGCTGAAGAGGAGCATGTGTCCTCAGCCACCTCAATCACTGAGTGCGACAAGCTTTCTTCCTTTGCCACATCAGTGGCTGAAGATCAGTCTGTGGCCTCACTCACAGCGCCCCAGACAGAGGAGACAGGCAAGAGCTCCCTACTGCTCGACACAGTCACAAGCATCCCTTCCTCCCGTACTGAAGCCACTCAGGGCTTGGACTATGTGCCATCAGCTGGTACTATCTCACCCACTTCCTCACTGGAAGAAGACAAGGGCTTCAAATCACCACCCTATGAGGACTTCTCTGTGACTGGGGAGTCTGAGAGGAGAGGAGAAATTGTAGGAAGAAGCTTGCCTGGAGAGAAAGTCGTGAAAGAGGAAGAGGTAGAGACTGCAAATGTAGAGTTGTCAGAGAAACTTCCGATGTTTGGTGCCCCTGGGCACGCCCTACATGCGGGGGAACCAGCCCTCGGAGATGTGGAGGAGCGCTGCCTCAGCCCAGATGACAGCACAGTTAAGATGGCCTCTCCTCCACCATCTGGTCCACCCAGTGCCACTCACACACCCTTTCATCAGTCCCCAGTGGAAGAAAAGTCTGAGCCCCAAGACTTTCAGGACACAGGCTCCTGGGGAGACACTAGGCACACACCGGGTGTGGGCAAGGAAGATGCTACAGAGGAGATAGTCGGGCCCAGGCCTGAAGAGGTCACACTCGAGAAGGAGGGGGAGGTGTCACCTCCTAGGAGCCCCCAAGCCCAGGAAGCATCCATCGGCATTGTTGGGGGTCACACAGGCTGCACCATCCAACTGTTGCCAGAACAGGACAAAGCAATAGTCTTTGAGACTGTGGAGGCAGGAGAGCCCACGGGGCCAATTCCGGGAGTAGAAGCCCTTCCCAGAGATGTGAGAACATTACTCCAAGAACCTGGAGAACCTCAGAAAGGTGAAGTGCTCCAATTTTCTGATCGAGGCCTCTCCCCTGAAGACGCAGAATCCCCCTCTGTCCTCAGCATGGTCTCCCCAGACATTGTCAACCAAGAGCCCACCCTTAGGTCTCCCTGTGGCCTGATAGAGCAGCACCTACACAAAGACCTCTGGCCAGAGATGGCTCCAGAAGACACGCGGTCACTTTCTCTGTCTGAAGAGAGCCCCAGCAAGGAGACCTCTCTGGATATCTCTTCTAAGCAGCTCTCTCCAGAAAGCCTTGGCACCCTCCAGTTTGGGGAATTAAGCCTTGGAAAGGAAGAAAAGGGGCCTCTAATGCTGGCTGAGGATACCTCTGACCACCTAGCCCCTGTGCTTGTTCCAGAGCCCCATCCAGCCACAGTGACACTTCCCACAGATAGGACCACTGGGTCATCTGCCCAGGCAGACATCACAGATGAGAGCCCCGACAGAAAACTACCTGCCAGCCCCTTCTGTCACTCCACACTATCGAGAGATGGGAAGCACTCACCAGAGGTGACCACAAGCCCTGGTGAACACAGTTTGACATCTGATAGCTCTCTCACCAAGAGTCCTGAGTCTTTGCCAAGCCCTGCCATGGAGAACATTGCTATGGAATGGGAAGGTACAGTTCCACGGTCGAAAGACAAAGAAACCCTAGAGCAGAAGGACAAGGTGCCTGAGCCAAAGGATGAAGTCTTACAGCAGCAGGACAAAACTCTGGAGCAGAAAGATATTCTTGTAGAGCAGAAAGATATTCTCATAGAGCAGAAAGAGATTGTTGTAGAGCAGAAAGATATTATTGTAGAGCAGAAGGATATAGCCACCAATCAGAAAGATGAGGCTCTGGAAGAAAAGAACAAGGCTGTGGAACAGCAGGATAAAACATTAGACCAAAAAGACAGAGAATTAGAACAAACAAACAAAGCTCTGGATCAGAAGGATAAGGCCCTGGAAGCAAAAGACACAGACTTAAAACAAAAACACATAGACTTAGAACAAAAAGACACAGCCTTAGAACAGAAGGACAAAGCTCTGGAGCCAAAAGATATAGACTTAAAACAAAAAGACAGTGTCCTAGAACAGAAGGACAAGACCTTGGAACAAAAAGACATACAACAAAAAGACAAAGCCTTGGAACAGAAGGACAAGACCTTGGAACAAAAAGACATAGA